CGGACCACCTCGAAGCCGGAGAGCAAGCCGGACCACCTTGATACCGGAGTGCATGCGTGTGGGGAAGCAAACTCGCAAGGTGTATAAAATGGCAAGGAAGCAAAGGAAAACACAACCCGAACACGACGAAAAGAACACCCAGAAACCCAGAAATCTATACCAAACTTAACCTCCTCCTGTGATCATATCCTTGGAAAGCCTCAGATATGACCCGATCACCCATTTTCTCCAGCAAGATCTTTGATACCAACCCAAGCAGCAATCTGTCAATCTCTCTCTCTCTGCTAAACTTGTGGAAACTTAGCTCTCGCATCACAAGCCTTTCAAGCCAAGCATAACTTTCTAATTCTTTTATCACAGTCATCACTCTCTTGGTGGGAAGAAACAGAGCATTCCCTGGAAATTTACATTTTCTCGGAGTGTTTTGGGCCTGGTTCTGAACTCAGGCAAAGGGGCATCACAATTAGCTCTTTACGACGGCCCAAGCCCGCCTTCAGTTGTCGTGACCAAAAAAGACCCCTACATAAATTGGCGACTTCACTGGGGACTCAGGCTGCCATTCTCACCAATGCCTCCAAAAAGGAATGTCAGAAGCAACACTGTGGCCTCCCAAGAGGAGTTAAACCACGGTGACTCGACGTCAAGAGGGAACAGCTCCCGTGAAGAGGAGAGACAAACAAATGGAGAGGACTATACACTCCCAGAGCTCATCACAGCCATCCATGCTATGGGTAAATCCCAGAGAGAAATGATTGAAACAATCAAAGAGTTGAAGAACTCTGTTTCCAATCAGAATGACAAAAATGAAGAGCAACGCGAAAAGACGCCATTGGGAGATTCAGCTCCTGCTGGAAGGGGATCTGAGCAGAAGGAAGCATCTTTTGTCACCCATGAAGATGTGATTGCCATGCTGGAAAAAGAGTTAAATCGAAGCCATGAAGATTGGAAATACGTCCCTCAGCCGCCATATCCGGCCAGCCTACTCGAGCAGCCCTATCCTAAGGGCTATGAAACTCCAAGCTTTATCCTCTTTGATGGGAGGAAAGGAAGTCCAAAAGAGCACATCAGTCGCTTCGTTGATGCTTTGGGACCCCATGCTGGTGATTATAACTTACGTGTTCGAGAATTTTCGAAAAGTCTCGCAGACCGCGCCTATACTTGGTATACTACTTTGGCACCGGGCTCTATTCGCTCCTGGGAAGACTTGGCAAGCAGGTTCTGTAGAAAATATTTCCAGCACGAGGAACGAGTAACTACGACTCAACTCAATAACACCCACCAGAAGCCTGGAGAAAACCTTGTGGACTTTGTCCGTCGGTTTCGTGACTTAGCTCTTGATTGTTATGATGAGAGAAATGAAGAAGCACGGCAGCACATGCTGAAATAATGAAAAGCAAAGAAAAGCTCTCAAATTGCTGAAAGAAGTAAGCCCCAGACCCAACCTTTTAATATTATAAGTTTTTCTATAGAAAGATTTATTAACTCTTAAGTAAACAAATAAAAGGCACTCCACTTATGAGAAGTTAAGTGTGGCTTTTCCTCAGCACTTCCTTTCAGAGCCATTGAGTTTTGATTTCCTTACAAACTTTTTCCACACTATAATCATACGGTTATATTATTATTATGATCATTTTTGTATTGGTCCTGCGGCAAAACAAAGGTCCTGCGGTAAAACAAAGGTCCTGCGGTAAAACAAAGGTCCTGCGGTAAAACAAAGGTCCTGCCGCAAAACAAGGTCCTGCGGCAAAACAAAGGCACGGCAGCAAAATCAACAACCCAAAATAACTCC